CTCAAATACTTGACCTAGTGGGATCAGCCACATGGCGTCACGTAGCCAGTGCTGACAATCCCGGCGATCTAGGTACAAGAGGGTGCAAGCCACTGCACCTTGCCACTACCACCCTCTGGTGGAATGGCCCCCGATGGTTGATAGAATCTCCGGATTCTTGGCCACAATCCCCCATGCGCAACATTATCGCCCCAGAAGGGCGAAAAATCGCCATTGAATGATACCGACATCCTTGAACGATTTTCATCGTTTCCAAGAGCTCTCAGAGTAGTTGCTTATATGTTCAAATYTATAGAACAGCTCAAAAGCAAAGTCAAGGGATCACATAATTTCCCATGCAACACAGGAACGCACCTAGAGTTACAAAAAGCAAAGGTCGCACTAATCGCATATACGCAAGCGCGCTACTTCAACCGCGGTATATCACTACTGAGAGAATCGAAGCCGATAGACAAAAAGAACTCACTCTTAGTTCTAAACCCAGTCCTGGACACGAAAGGTCTGCTTCGTGCCAATGGTCGGCTTGCTAATTCGAGCCTAACTTACAATGAACGCCACCCAATAATAATTCCCGAGAAGTCACCATTTGCCACATTATTCCTCAACTACATCCACATCTTAATGMTACACGCCGAACATCGCCTCATGCAACATATGGTACGCCAAGAGTATTATAGCCCCCGTCTTAAGCCGCAAATCTAGAAGTGCATCTTCACGTGCAAGATTTGTACTATGCACAAACAGAAAATGCGAACGCAGATTATGGCTTCCACCGGAACGCTGCAATTTCGCTCTGCCTTTCACCACAACAGGTGCTGATTTTGCTGGGCCTTTCCAGGTAAAGGCGTCTATGCTAAGGTCTCCCACTTTCATGAAAGGCTATGTGGCTGCTTTTGTATGTTCCACGACAAAGGCAGTACACCTTGAGCTATGTAGTAATCTGACGGCGGAGGCTTTTCTCGCGGCATTTGCTCGCTTCGTCGCTCGACGTGGCTACCCATAAAAGATCATGAGCGATAATGGCAAAACCTTTATTGGAGCTCAACGAGCCACAGAAAAGCAATTTGTGGATTTCCTTAAGCAAGTGTCACCCGACATCGTACAAAAGCACGCCCCTCAAGGTATCAATTGGCAATTTATACCCCCAAGCGCTTCTCTTATGGGCGGTTTATGGGAATCAGCTGTAAAAAGCTTCAAATCCCATTTCAAACGGGTAGCTGGAAATTATAAATTCAATTACGAAGAGTTCACGACGTTATTAAATAGAATTGAAGCCGTTCTCAATTCACGGCCACTCACAGCACTCTCGCAAGAACCGTCAGATTTTACTGCCTTAACTCCAGGGCATTTTCTAAAAGGAGCCCCCATGCTGTCCATTCCTGAGCCAGGCGTGGGGTCGCTATCTCTATTAAATCGATGGAAGGACGAATACATAAAGGATCTCCACAAAAGATACTGCCGGAAAACTCCTGAACAAGCGCCTAAACTTGGAGACTGTGCCCTCATTCATGATGATTGTCTACCCCCTACCGAGTGACGGCTTGGCCGCATAGAAAAGCTACATTATGGCTCCGACGGTCACATACGAGTCGTGGCTCTCCGTACGCAAAACGCAAAACTAACCAGACCGCTCGTGAAGCTATGCTTTTTACCAACCACCGACGACCGACGACCGCGAATCCGAAAACCGCAAAAACGAAACCGATAAAATCGCGATATAATAAAATCTTTAAATCTAACTCTAAAACGAAAAACACTCCCGTAACAACCGTTCGAATTAACACGCCGTATCAACTAGTCAAGAATATTTACAAAACGATCGTTCAATACGACGACCCATTCATGCCACACATCGTGGCACGATGGCCCATATCTCATTGTATGAYAGATTAATAATCAVCAATCTTTTCKATACAGATTACTATGGAAGTAGATACGCCAGTCACAACCACGCCAACCGCKCGGGCTAYBAATGCGCCACGCACCGGGCCTACACCAGCGCYCCGARCTGTGGTTGCAACAACGCCGGCAACTGTGGTTACAACAACGCCGGCACCTGTACCGGCAACCGCGCCAGCAGCGGTCCTTCCATCCGCACCTCGTGGTGGCACTCGACCACCACCACGCCAATCACGGACGTCTTAGACCCTAAGGTGCCCCATCTGTCGGCGCCCACATCGCCTAGGCCCAGGCACACGGGCATTGACACAATTGCCTGCCACCTACGCATACGACTCCGGAGTGTGAGTCACGAGGGCTGTGCCAATTATGCCACAGGCCGCACCACACGCTGTTCCATCGCAGCTCGGCACGCGAAGTAAATCGGCCACCCATCCATCGCGGCCGCATACCCCGATTCCAATCCGCAGCTCGTGGCGTACCTCAGCGAAGCGGAACCTTGTTGCGGCGTCGGCAGCCTCGACCACCACCTCGTCGGTCTACGGGGCTGAGCAGCGTTGTGGCAACGCTGCAACAGCTTCAGCGCTTTTTAGGCTAAACAGTCGTTTAGGGAGGACGGGATGGCTAAATGAGGACCGGACCCCCCTCCAAATATAAATTGCTACACCCCACACATATACACCATACTCCACACAACATCGTTTCATTCCACACTACACCCACTACACTAAACACATCATCCCATCATCCACACCACACTTTTCACACCTCACACGAGGACACCAAACATGATCAACAAAAGGGACTGGCGGCGGCGCCCAGGTCTTTWTTGATTCGATCCGTGCGCATATGCGTTTCGCCAGTCGTCGCTAAGTTTTCCCGCTTCTTAATACGACAAAGGTGAGTTGCCGCGAGAACTTAGAATTAAATACAAAAATCTTCTTACGCGTAATTTATGCTAGCAAGTCACGTTGCACGTACAGGTGCATTGAAGTCGTTGTTGTTGTTGAAAAGCAGCACTGACGTTCTCAAGTAACGGCGGCGCTGTATCGTCCTTTACTCTGGATRCGCGTGTGGTGTCGTTTAACCGTGGGATAGCGACCGCTGTCCGAGTCGCATGCTTACRTAAGCTTTTAGTGGTTGGTTATTTGTAAAAGCTATGCAAGCTAATTTCGGCGTATGTTGCGTTAACCTATACATTCAAAAAGAAGGTGGACAATACCTTAGTTCACACCGGCGTTACCCTTCTTACATTTGATTTATATGAACTATCTAGTAAAGTGGAGGTTCCATGGCGCTSAGCGCGTGTAAGACCATATTTTCCTAATCCAATGAGATGTAAATCATGCGAACTCTTAGGGCATACTATTAAAAGGTGTAATAACAAACATGCATGCAATCACATGTGTAGTCTGTAATTTTTTTTAATGATAAATGGAGATAGTCCATTGAAAGATTCACTGTCCGTTTTAGTTATGATTAGGAATTTGGATTCATTTATATTTGGAGCTGGGTCAAACATTTTGTATGTCCACCAATGGTTATTTGTGTTGTTTTACGTGTATTGTTTYTGTTATTTTACTTTATCTTTCCTTTTGGTTGAGCGTTTGTTTATAACTTGCGATTGCTTGTCACTTGTTAGTTAGCGAAAACCGGTTTTTGTATGTAGCGATGTAGGGCAGAATGCAATTTGYATATACRKCTGTCTACCTTGAGATTCGCGCTACTGAAGTAACACAATAAATTCAGTAAACTCTCAATCTCTTCCATTTGTTTCTCTCAACTCTTCCTCCCACAGCAACAGCTTTGCTAATAATTCCACACCTCAAGCTACTAACTCCACTCATTCATTTATCAGCGAACTACAATCGCACCACACTTCAAATAATTTTACCAACAACTCACAAACCAACTCATTAATTACTCAACACATAGTCACCCAGACCATGACCAGATTATGCCAACTTTCGACGATGAAGAAATCTAATCCATTCTTCTTTGTCCTATTTGCTATATGTTCAATATACTTCAATGGAATATAAAGGGCTTCTACAACAACTACACTGAACTTGAAATCCTCATTGAAGATATCTCACCACACTTCATTGCCTTACAAGAAACCCATTTTGCTSTAAATAAAATTTTATTTCTATTTCTTAAATTTCCACATAAATTCCTCGAAATCCATTCAAATATAGCTTCTTTAGCCATTCAGTTATCCATAGAATTTAAATTTACGTTTATTTGCTTGTATATTCCCCCACAACAAAATTTCACGCTTACTGAGCTTCAGAAATCCCGCAATCCTGGTTGGAGATATGAATTCGTGCTCCCCATTATGGGGCTCCCCGGAACGAACCAAAGAGGATTAATTCTGGAAAACTTAGTTCTTACAGAGAAGTTTGCCGTATTGAACGATAATGCCCCGACTCATTTTTCAACTCATAATTYGTTTACGCACATCGACCTATCTATTTGCTCTATCAAGAGTGATCAAAAGTGAATAGCTGCACTCTTGATAGTTTGTGTGATAGTGACCACTACCCAACAGTAACTGCAATTGCAACGTCATCCTCTGCAAAGGCCTTTTCTAAACCAAAGTTCCTGACAGGTAAAACAGACTGGTCCAAGTATACGCAAAAGGCAATTCTGTTTTGCGATCAAACCCCTGTATCTCCCATATGTCAATAAGGAGGCGGCTAATATCACCAAAATATTAAAGTCTGCAGCGCACCTTTCAATTCCGCAAACTATTTCTAAACTCAATAAAAAAGTAGTTGCTTACTGGTCAAAGGAGTTGAAGAGCTTAAGGAATTTAAAACAGCATAACTGGAGACAATACGAGCGTTCCAGAACAGAACCCAACCTGATTTTATAGAAGAAAGCAAATGATATTTTTCGTAAGAGAACTAAAGTAGCAAAACGAATGTGCTTCGAAAAACTTACCACAGAAATAAATCCCAGTTCTAATCCTAAAAAGATTTGGTSGGACATTAAAATGCTAACTGGCTCAACTTCCCAAGTCAAAATAAATTCTGTTAATAGCCCAACCGGTCCAATATTCGATCCCAAGGCGATAGCTGAACAGTTTGCTTCCACTTGGTCTACATATTCTAGCGACGGGAACTTTAGTGCCGCTTTTATAGATAAAAAATATGAAACTCTGAGTCGCAGCTACAATCAGCTTAACTCACCAGCTAAAATAATAGAATTAGAGATCACTTATCTAAAATTCGAAAGTACAGTACATATCTGTTCTGTCAGGTAAAACTCCTGGCGCAGATAGAATTTCATACGATATAATAAAAATCTTGCCTCCACCGCTTAATTTACGATTAATCAATCCATACAACAAAATATTAACGGACGGAATTTATCCACAAAACTGGAAAATTGCAACAATTATTCTCATACCAAAGTCTACTAACCCGTCTAAGAAGTATAAGAAATTCTGTTTTGTATTTTTTTCCTAGATCTACGCTAACAATGCACTCTGTGTAATAAGTTGCTTAATTTATTATAAGTTTCTCTCAACTAAATTTCACTAAAAAATTTACTGTTTCACTT